CTGGAACTTAGAGAACCGTAAACGCCAATTTCACAAATTATCTATCTCTTAAGGATATATTTCCAGTGTAAAACTGAATACATTCTGTTCGCGAATAGTCTGTTTGCAGTGGAGGCAACTTAAAAAAAACTTTGGCTCAGGAAGGACTTAGACTTAACTAAAACATTCACTCATGTGCGAATAAGGGAGTTGAATATCGTTATACTTAAATATTTTAACACGCTAAGCAACGCCGAAAATTGGAATCACATAGCATAATGACTTTTGGCCAAACAAAGATTTGAATAGGTGATTCAAAAGGCAAAATACTTCTTGAAGAAACCATAGAGAGGGTGACTCTACTTTTAAGGGACTGGACTAGAAATAAAATGCTACATGAATGAACGTTTCTGTAAACTACCCCAGTAAGATTGTAAATGATTTACCGATAGAGAGGCCGACCTTTGTGATCAGAGGGCAATTTGTATAGCAAACTTTCAGCAATCCTTTCTTAGGCGTGTCTGTGGGTTCCTACCCTACGATTTAGTGTCATATCACAACGATGACAGGATCATGGCTAAACTAAAGCGAATCAAATATTGCAGAGCGGTTCTGTAAGACTGAGATCTTTTTGCTGTTTATCACATCTTCAAAATGTATTCAAAATTGGCCCGCGGGCACAATATTGTTCGCTGTCCTAGGCTCGTTTCCAAGAAATTCTTTTGTGTTCTGTTCCGGTTTACCAAATATAAAATACATTTCTGGCGCAAACATGCACGTCAGCAAACCATACGAGGTCACAAGAGCTATGGTGCATGATACCACAGCCACGTACCACCACGTACCACCCCCCTAAGGAAGTTTGTACAGGAAAGAATGCAATCCACGAAAGAAGAAGAACATAAGTCGCAAAGTCAGTATAACGAGCGTCGTTGAAGTTCTCTGGAAGGGTGCGAGCTTTAAAAGCGTAGAAGGCACAAACACGAGATTATAAAGATCGAATATGTCAGCATAGAAAGTTTCAATGAAAGTCCAATAATTCCTTGTTAAGGACTGCAAGTAATTATAACAAATTCTTTCGTAGAAGGAGAATCAACTTCTGCCCAAATTATCGCCATAAGAACTTCAGCCAGGGTTAATAAAAATAGCGACATAACCTGGCCACTTGTGCTCAGACATATCTTCTTCAAACAGTTTGCAGCAGAAGTAATTTGAAAAGCTTTGATTGGTTTCATTGTCTTTACCAACAGAATGGACACACTTAGTGACAATGCCAAAACGTGGCAGATACAATGCTGGACAGCGAAATAAAACTTAATTGACGATTAGCAGCTTTTGCAAATGGAGTATGGCGATGGCGGATAAAAACAAGAGCTGTGAACTGCCCGTTTCAGTCTTTCGACTACAGTTTTTAGCCTTCTTTCGTAGTTAGTCGGTGTTATGTATTCCACTTGTCCAATGCAGAACGTCTGATGTTGAATAGACAGACACCATGCAGTCCGTAAGAATGTTCCGTTGCTATCAATGCCACGTAGTTCCAATGGAAATATTCGATAAGATCCGCCATAGCCCTTGCTTGAAAACCATTCGCCAAAACTGTTCGTAAGAACTTTTTATAGAAAGACCAGCTGAGTTCGGCACTTCTTGCTGACGGGCTTATAGCCGGAATGTTCACAACTTGGAGCAATCAAGCTACTTGCAATGAGTCTCGGGAGCCATAAGGTCTAATTAATCAAGAAAGGAAGGCCTTTAATATTTTCTCATAAAAAAACTAATTATTGGTCTAAGTCAATGCCGCGAGATCACCAAACACTCACTAATGCTATTTCTGCTTCGAAAAAATTATTTCCTGCAGAGTGACAGAGCATTTAAAGGAAAAGTGAAGAATGGTTTGAAAATTAAAATGGAATACCTTGTATGTCCTTACAGTTATTCGATCTAAAATGATGTGAAAGCGGGACACTTTTCACCGGGTTAGAGTCCATTCATTTTAATCATCTGTTTCTCAGTTTTGCTGCTTCTGTAGGTTCTCTATTTCAATATCTATTCTACTAATGAAATAAATTTCACAAACAAGTTTCAGTCAGGTTCACTTATTAAAGGATTGTAAAATGACAAGGTCAGAGGAACTTTAAAATCTTTATTCAAGTATTATCAAAAAAAAACAAACAAACAAAAAACAAGGGAGACACTGCCAAGTGTGGAGTGTTTTAAACAAGCATACGCATTGAAGTAATAAAAGATACAGGAATACATAAAAGTTGGATACTTTATCAATATATATCATGGGATCAAATCCTTGTATTTGCCTCTTCACAGCATCAAATAAATTCATTTTTTCGACCCATCAGGAAAAACCTTATTCGAATGGATGTTCATTACTCATCTATGCCTCGCGAGCATATCATACAGAAACAAGGATATACGGTACGTACGGAGCTCGCCCAAATTTATAACAGTGACGCCAATTGATCACAAATCAAATTCCCTCAGTATTTATCTTAATGAGTGTGTTCAATTTTATCCTTTTTAGTTGAGCAGCCTCGTATCTGACATTGGCGGTCAGTTGGGTCTGTTTGTGGCAATGTCTGTTCTGACAGCAACTGAATCTTTGGAGTTTTGTATCACGTGGTTGTTTGCCTAATTGCTGTCAGCTCGTGCGCGTGCTATCCATGAACACTGATGTACTCTGTTGTTCTTTAGGCAAATTGGAAATGATTGGTTGGTTGTTATATGTTACATAAAAAATAAACGGGATAAGTGAACTGTAATCAGGGTGTTCCATCGGATGAGTCCTGTTCTAATAGTTAAACTAGATTCTCTGAAGTTTCACTTAACGTAGCATCCAGCAAATAGAAATGTCATATTTTGGCGCTCCCAAGTAAAACTGCACATTTCCTCGCGAATTATTGATTCTTGATTCATGTCTTTTATTCTTCTTTGATGAAACGTGAATCAACAAAAGACAACCTTTACGGAGTCCAGTTAGTGCCATCTCGTATTTCTCATCAACTTCAACTTTCCTGCATGACTTCAAATATCCTGATTGACTTCAACTTTGCTGCACGACTTTAATTTTCTGGCACGACATTAATTTTCCGGTACGATTTTTCTGGCACCAATTTTTTCATGGCACGACCTTCAACGTTTTCCACCAGAACACTCAACTCAAGAATCAACGCGGCGGATCACCGCCGGCCGATCGTAATTTACCTACTGTAACACTGTCGGAAAATTAACATCGTGCCGGAAAGTTACAGTCGTGCTGGATAGTTGAAGTCGTGCCGGAAAGTTGAAGTCGTGCGAAAAAGTTAAAGTCGCGAAGGAAAGTTGAAATCGTACCGGAAAGTTGAAGTCGTTCCGGGAAAAACTGAGGTGATGAAAAATAAAGTTGAATTGATGAAAAAAAAGTTGATGAGAAATACGAGATAGCACCAACTGGGCTCCGTAAACCTTAATTTTCTGCATGCGTCACGTAGCGCTTAAGACCCTGTGTACATTACATAAATATGTACATCGACTATTGTTCTGATTTCTTTTTACACAATAACATGCAGATGACTCAGTGCAGCTTCTGGGTCTTTTCCAATTTTCTCTTTGAGTTTCAAATTGATCCCTGGTGGAACTTGATTGGCCCGTGAAAGTAATAGAAAAACTTTGGAAAAAAAACACTCATTTGCGACCTAATAATATCTATGGACCACGTTCCCTAAAAGAAATGATTTTTGCGACAAATACGGAAGCGAGAATTCATATCTACTTTAAATGTTAATAAATCTCATTTTCGTATCGTCTTGACTCTTTGTGAGTCTGAACAACTCAGACTGACTTTTTCCCTTTGAATGTATTGCGCAGAAAAAGTTTCCTTTTTTATGTTTTAGTGAATCGAAATGTTAAACGCAAAGAAATTTGATGTTTCACATCAGGAGGTCCCATGGATCCCGAACTTATCCTATGTTTTCTACACCTACAAAGTTTCCTCAAAAGTGTTCTGACAGCTATGCGAAACTCACTAAGTTGGAAGTACAGTAAGGCTGGATTAATTGTGGAATTTAAAAAAACCATTGTCCAAGTGAAGGGGTATACTGTCAGAAGCATTGGATAACGATGAAGATTCTCGACGTCATCGTTCATGATTATTGTAAGAGCCACAGTGTAAAAACAGAAAGGTAAATAACATATTATCATGAAAAATAAAATAAAAAATCTAGTTTTGGCAGATTTTCGGAACCGAGCATCAGCGATGGCTGTTTGATGGATGTGTTGATCATGCAGCTGTACAACTTGATGACGTATCCTTAGATGATGCAATCGGCAGGTACGGTACAGTTTTTAGTATATGAAGATATTTGAAACCAAACAAACTAAAACCGCTGGAGAAGCCATCTTGTAAAACAGTATATCGTGCAACCTTAACGTAGAAGCAGCCGCAATTGAGGACAACCAGATGACAACAAGAATGCAAATCACTCGTTTGGTGGTAACTAATTCACAATATCGTAGATGAAGCGTTAGAGCCAGGTACCTCTCTACGCTGATCGCTGTTATTGTTAGTAATGAAATGTTTGTGAGGGAAACAGATAAAACCTGAAGCAACGCCATCCATGCTCCTTCGTAATGAACAAGTCCTGAAAATAAGAGAAATCCCTGAGGTTGTGAAAGCACACCAATTCCCAGGTCGGACAGGGCCAGGCTGAACACCATCACGTTGGTCACAGTTTGTAAGCTGGGAGTTTTCCATATCGCCGCTAAGATCATAACGTTACCAGTTGTACTAGTGAACGTTAGAGTCAGAATCAAGATGGCGTTAACCAACGTTAAAATCTTTAAAATCTCCATTTCGTAGTCGAAATCGCGATAACAGAAGTGAACAAGATTTCAGTCAAAATAAAATGAATAGTTTTTACCAGACGGTACCTTAATTTAAAGTTTTAAACGAACAAAAGCTCCTATGACGTTATATTTGAAGCAGCGGTTATTGAAACTGTTCGAGTAGTCGTTATTATGTTTGCTGGGTGTGATTTTCTTTTCTCTCATGATACACATTTATTTATCAGCTTTAAGCGTCCGACAGTTAGAAATTAAAATTTCTCTCTTTTTTAATAAAGCTGGAACAGTGATTGTAATAACTGATGTCGGACCAATCGTTACCTCGATAACCTTTGAAAACAAAAAGATTTGTCAGAAAAGGGATGAGAGAGAGGTTTTGGCCACCTCTAAGTTGTAGTTCAAGCTATGCCTTGGGCCCTTGAATCAATGAATAAAGAGACCAAAGGGTGGCTGCTGTAAGCTCAAAGTGGTTTTCTAAGTCCAACATGGTATAATTCTCTTCGGGAAGTGTTGAAATTGAGAACGCAGTTTAAAATTAACAAAAAATCTCAAAGACATCTCCAGTACAAATCTTTTCTTGAAAGAAATGGGGTACCCGCAATTTTTTTCGTATTACGCTATCAGCTTAAGAATAATGCACAGCTATGAGCCGATATAGATGCGCACATATACGCATTGTACTTATTTCCTGTTGATATTTCCATAAAGACATCGAGTATAATCCATGACTTTCAGATTATTTCCTGCCGTCAAAAGTTAGTGCATGCTGGCAATTAAAGCGACAATTCTCCCCTTCAAGACAAACAGCCATGGAAAACAACTGTGTAAATAAATAAAATTAGTTAGCTTTAAGAAGAACATATCTGACATATCCAACGCTAGCTTATTTGACAAACTAAACAAACGAACGCAACTTGATCTCACGAAATAAAATATATAATCTATATCTTCAACCTTCATAAAAACTAACTTATTTCCGGACACCCTATTTCAAAAGAAATGTTCCCATTAAAACCACTCTTAAGTAACGTGCTAGTTATTGGTGCTACATAAAAAGTTTTCATCCTTATTATTATTTGCTAAATGGTGCAGCAAACTACTTTTGAGTCATATGTACCGGAGGTACATTAGATTATAGGAAAAAGCGGGAGCTGATTAGACAACAGATAAATCATTACGATCGCGTGTTGACTACAAACGGCTGCATTTTATTTACAATACTATTATAAGATGTGTGAAATTTACAGTTTGAAACGCGGTGTAGTACTAACGTAACATTATTATTCCCATTTGAATAGCACGCTAAGGTTACTGGGTCTGGGAATCCTCAAGAGCAAAGTGCTTGCAGCACACTACACTAAAAAAACAAATTCTGCGTAAATGCAGGCATCGTAGTGTCCGACTGTCTGACTGCCAATCAGTCTGACTGTCTCACAGTTCGACCAATTGGCTGAAAGACAAATTGAATTTTTAGACCCTCTAATCCTTAAACTCTGTCATAGTCATGACACATCACTTTTCTTTGATCCAACTGCTCACTGCTCTTCTGACTATCAGGTTGATTATCCTGTTTAGTCTCAAGCTCAAATTCCGTCATTATCATCCTGTGATCAGACAAAGTGAACTCCTTGGGCCACTCCTATCAACAAAGAAAGAGGATCTTTGTAAGTAATGTACATCAGCAGCTGAAATGTCAATCGAACCTTCATTATACTAACTCGATCAGAGAACCCCAAAGCAGAAACTAGTATCAGCTTTACATATCCTTTGATCATTTGATTTCACAATCAGTTACTCTACAGACAAAAATGAACTTCACGTTATTTGTTTGGGAACTACAGGTAGGAAGGCCGGCCATATACTGAGTTTACATGCATTTTCATTAAACTTTTCTCACTACCAACTCCTGTGGTATCATAATAATTAAAAACTAAAAGGTTAACAAAGCCCTGAATAGTAGCAAAGTAAACGTTACTTCATCAGTGAATTCTGCCGGCAACACTATGGATTTTATAGGAACAAGTTGAGATTGAGGTGGATTTCTGCAAAAAACAAAGAAAATGAATGTGAAGAAAAACAATTTAGTGGATAGAGTCAGGTCTGACAGTTTGCTTCTGTCATCTCACTGACACAACTCATCTTTCAATGCAAATAAATAAAAAAGTAGCTGAAGAGTTTCAAAATACACGAGCTAACAATTTCACTTAATGTAAAAGGCCATGTATCATTTTCAATGTTATAATCAAAACAAGGCCATCATTAAAAGCCTTGTCATTCTAATTTCAGAACTTAACCACAGCGAAGCTTTTCTAGTGATGTAATTAAAATTTGTTGGGCACACTCTGACCTTCAAACTAAAATCTTAAAATGTGAACTCTCACCTGTAAAATATATAATCTACAAGTATCTCTTCACCGCTATAAAGTCTGTGTGTTACACGAGGTTCTCTGCAGTGCACAGTTTTGTATGATGACACAAAACCATTTTCAATCACAAAGCCATACACCTCATCTTCTGGGCAGCCATTAAAATCTCCTGCTAACACCACAGGTATGTTTTCTACATTATTTCTGTGAACATATCCAGACTTCAATGTTAGACATATTAAATCATCATACTTGTGAGTGTAAAAGCTGTTGTTTATCAACTGAAGCTTTAGGTTTCTACAGTAAAATACACTTACTTCTGCTGATATGATTCAATTTCGTTTTTCACTTTCTTTATTTGAGACTGTAAAGAAAATAATCAAACAACAATTTAAATTCTGACAACATAATAAGCTTCCATTTACAACCAATTCATAATTTAAGTATGATTATTGCCCACAAATATTCAAATTGAGAAAAGTATGATGGGGTTAAGCTTGACTTCACTAAATGTTTTACCATGCAATCTAGTTAACTATCAAACAAATATTCATAAATTTTTTGTGTGCTCACCATTCGTAGCAATTGGTCAATGAAGTTTGAGCAATATGTCAGATGTGTTGTCATAAGCACAATCTAATGTGATAAGATAATAAAATTGTTACTGTTAAACTAACTCTCAGTGCTTGTTTTTAACCAATAACAGGTTTTAGTGACAATAGATTTAACTGGATATATACTTCAAGATACAGATCATTCACAGAGCACAATACCTCTTGCTCATTTGGCAACAGAAGGTGGACTAGTAAAGCTACTCTGCGATTCATATCATTGAAACGAATAGGACATATAGACAGTATGCTGCAAAAAAAAGGAAAAAGAAAGTAAAAAGAAAGAGACAAGACAGGAAAAGAAAGAGAAAAAAGTGGAAAATCATTCAGTTTGAAGACATTAACTTGTAGCAAATGTCTCTATGTAACAATCAATATGTATTCAGCCTAAAAATGGAACTCCTTCTATGCTTTGTAACAGTTATACTTTTTCTTGCATCATAAAGAAGCCACATAATAATAAGAGAACTTACCTAATTGAGCGATCAATCAATAATGCGAGGCCATCTGTCTTAAAACCGGTCCTCTTTAGTTTTATTATTCTGTATCTACAACAGCAAAGTAAAATGAATATGGTTACATTAAGCATATTATACATGATTTGAACTCATCTTGACCCAATACCAATGAAAAATTATTTATATCAAATCTAAGCTGGTACACTTTAATAATAATACCTTATGACACATGAACTTTGAGATTCAAAGCCAGGCTCAAACTCACATTTTACCCAGTTGTAACTCATTATGGTTATAGTCACATCTTAATGCTGAAACTTACAAAATAAATGAAAACTATAACATTTAAGTGGGTCTAATTCAGCTTGAAATTTTTTCAGGAGGTAAGCAACAGGACTGCTGTAGAATGCATATTGCATAATGAGTTGTAATCCTCAAGGTTTACATGTTTTAAGGAATGGGGTGACATTATCTTGGACATGAGTGAAGATCAAATACATGAATTTGTTGGACAACCTATAAGAAACAAATCTTACTTTTCTTCAAACTGTGTATCAAAAAGTTCCATGACATCACCATGAAACCAAAATTCTTGAAGACAAATAATGTCCACACTAGGCTTCTGTTTAGATATAAGATCAATAATGGCGCGGAATCTTGGTATGTATAGGTTGGGATTACTGCTTTCACTGCGATCCCACCAGCCACTGAAATGTTCCAAGACAAATAATTATACACTTAACATAATCATAGCAGTCTCCATCATATGCATTATCTTAAGCTCGTGATGTCCCATTTTTCAAGAGCTCTGTGATAAGTGAATTTTCGTGCCTTTAAGTCTGTTCATGACAGAATTCCATTTGCTAACCATGATCACACACTAGCCATTTTATTCCAAACTAAGTAAACAGTATTATTAACACCACAGGCAGACCACACTATGTGTTCATGGTTCGTTATTGTTGACATGAGACAAACAAAATTTATGAGAGTTACAAATAAAGCTCTGAAATTGCATATCAAAATTACATCTCAGTTTAAATATCTCATTATCATTAAATGAAATTATAACCGATGTATTTGTGGTATTTTTTCGCCTTCTTGGGCCGTTTGAAGTGTCTTTTTACTAAATTACTATAAACAGCCTCCAGCAAAAAGTAATTATAATAATAATAACAATAAACAATCTTTAAGGAGGAAGCGCCCATCACGTAAATACATGGTTTTCAGGGAGGTCCACAGTAAAAAATAAAAAGTATTAAAAGCTAAAATAAGAAATACAAATGTCACTGATCTAAAATATAAAATATACGGTGTATATCTAAACATTTTTATCCATCATTTAAAATATTTATCCATTAAGAATCTTGTAAGATTTTTTTTTTCCTTAAAAATTGAGCATGGCATTGGCCTTCTTAAAAATACTGGGAGGAACATCCAGTCATTTGTAAAACGGAAGTAGGACACCCTCTTTCCGAATTCCGTTTTAGGTTTAGGCAGTCTAGGTAAGTAGCCATTTCTAGTGTTGTAGCCATGCGAACTTCTCAATGTCGATTTAAAACTTTCAAAATGTTGCGGAATGTCTCCTTTGAGTGCATTTTCTACAGTGGTACAACGATGAAATAGACGTCTTCCAGCCAGAGGGAGCCAATTCAGACACTTCAGAGCTTCTGAAGAAGACATCTTGCCTAACTTAATTTTCTTCGCAAATTTGTTCTGAAAACTTTGCAATTTTTCCATTTCTGATTTTAGACCGGGTTGATCTCCCCACACTGTGTCGGCATAGTCTAGGTGTGGCAGCACTAGCCCATTGTAGAAGGCTACGCGAGTTCTATTGTCTAACATATGCAAAAAGACACTTCAAACAGCTCATGAGGGCGCAAAAAATATCACATAAGCATCGATAAACATTCGATCTAACTTCATAGAGATATTCAGACCAAGATGTGAGTTAGATATGCAATATTAAAAGCTTTATTTATAACCTTCTTAGATTTTGTTCCTCTCATGTCAACAATTAACCACAAACATAAAGTGTAGTCTTCCTGCGTTAACATATGATGCAGGCGAAGAACTAGTACAAAAGAAACCTTAAATTGTGTTATTCCACGATGTGGGCATTATGTTGCAATGAAAAGATGAGCTTACCTTAACCAATTGTAACATGGAGCTAGGACATTAAAAGTAGCGATGCGTACGGTTTGTTTTGCCACCGATTTGTCGCTCATGATGTGAAGAACTCGACGACACGTTAAAAAGCAAAAATTTCGGAGCATATAGTGGACATCCCATGCTAAAAAAAGCCAATCACTTCAAGGAAAACGAGAACATGCTCTGACGTAACACCGTCAGCCATGCTTGACTAGTAACAACAAGTGTTTCAGGTCAGCGGAGGAGACAATGATCTCGGTAACTATGTCATGTATAGGGAATTATTATCCCCTATACATATTATGTCCTATACTTTACACACACATATAACGTTCTGTACTCTACATTAAATAATCCCCTATACATGACGTACCTAGGATGACTGGATGATATGTCTTCCGTTATGATACCTAAGCATTTTTTCACCTTGTGACCTCCTGAATAATCTGTGAAAATTAGTTGGTTGTTTCGAAAAAAATTGTAGACTAAATTAGGGCTTTCGTCTTTGATACTTTCTTGTTGGTCTGTATTTTTACCGTCAACAGGAAGAAGTTAGTGGAAAAAAAATCGGCGTATACAGTATTTCCCAAAATTCTTTACGTGAATATCACATTGGGAAACTGAAAAAACTTGGAAACTCGACAGAAGTGTATAAGGAAATTAGGTATTTGTTTTTTCTTAAGTATTATTAGTTCGTAAGCTCACAAGTTAAAACGCATCATGACCACAACACAAAGCCCTATAGGGGCCCCTCAGGGAAGAATTCTTTGTTGTGGTAAAAAGCACATAATTTGTATGCAACATTTATGAGATCGAGCCCATCAACCAGAAACGACACCCTGATGGCGGTAAGAGCTAGGCTGATAGCATTGCTTAGTAAAGCAGTTTTGCTTTTCTCGGTTTACTCTGTTGCTTCAAGTCATTCAGGTAAGTATTAACTCTATTTGACCTGTATGTGTTGCTATCCGCACATAGAACAAGTCCATTATTCCTTTACATAATTGTCTTATGTTTGTTTGCATCTCGGGAGGAGTTATACTTTCGAAATCAGCAGAACAAGTTAAAACTTCGTTTCTGATGGGAAACCGCCTTTTTAACTCAGCTCAAACTGATAAAGGTCTGGGAAATAAAAGCCATCAAAAAAGAATAGCAGATGTACAACTCTATGAGATCTAAAGTTATAGATGAAATTCAAGCAAGCAGTATTGTAATTGAGTGGAATAGAGTTGATCATGCAAAACAAACTTATGCAAAAATGGGAGCAAAAAGAAAAATACCGCAAATGTGAATTACATCCAAAATAATCAGAAGCAATTAAAAGTTTGAAAATTACAAGGAAATCTGTAAAAATCCGAAAAAAGCACTCGTTAATACCTCTTGAATATATAGCGACAAAGATGATCTCAGAATCCTAAGCTCGATAGTTAACTTCTTTATTGTGTCTGTGCGTGTTAACTCACGTGTGACTGTCTTGATCTGAAGTAAACAATTTTCAAAAAGCAAGATAACCTCGGATCCACTTTAGTTATGTTATTTATATTATAGCATGTAATATGAGAATATAATCTAAATAACAGCACAACTCTAGCCGCAAAATCGTAAGCGGAATAAATTTTCAACCTCCAAGACCTCTTCACAGACATCTTAAATCTTTTGCAGACGGGATTTTTCTGAGAAAATGGTATTTTTCTTAACTCACCCGCTTCTCCTAAATCGTCAACCATACGGTGATATTTGTATTCAGCGAACACCCAAATGAATCTTAATAGTACCCGCTTAATTAGTGACTTTCGCTTTAATCCGTGCCGAGCCTGCGTCTGTCTCATGAAGGTGACCCCTAGAAACACCAAACACTGATATGAACCCTTTTAATCTTCTCTTTATATTTCAGAATCTTTGTGCCCTGAAGGAAAGTTCGCAAATATTGCGCGGATCTGTGTACCAGAATGTGCTACGGGATACTATGGTGATACACTTACGGGAACCTGCCAAAAATGCTCCTCAAATTGTAGAACTTGTTTGAATGGTGATAGAAACGACAGATGTTCCAGTTGCAATCCTCCTTGGTATCTGAAAAGTATGCATACTATTCATACATAATATATGTATGTACATATATATAACGCTCGATTGAATAGATGTGGGAATTTTGTCATGTTTCGGCAGCCTCATCGTATCAGAATTTTCCCTCGTTTGACGACCGACAAGTGGATGAGACAGCGCACCTTCTTAGCCGCAGTCAAACTTCATCTGAACTTTCCGAATTATTTGATACATCAGTTGATTGTCAGGGTGATTTTGACTAAGTGACTGACCAACTTTTTAAAGGTATAACTAGTTAGCTGACCGATTAACTGATTGACTGATAGGCAAGTTGACTGATTGGCTGACTAGTTAACTTGCTGACCGACCGTCTGGCTGACTGACTGACAGACTGGCTCCCTGACTGACTGACTGACTGACAGGCCGGCTGACTGACTGACTGACACTCTGGCTGACTGACTGGCTGACTGGCTGGCTGACGGACTGACTGACTGACCGGCTGGCTGGCTGACTGACTGACAGGCTGGCTAGCTGACTAACTGACTGGCTGACTGACAGCATAGCTGGCTCACTGATTGACTGACTGGCTGACTTAGAGGCTAGCCGATTGATTGGCTGACTGACTGACTGACTAAAGGGTGACAGACAGCATAACTCACCACCCAACTAACATAATATTTAAGCGATTTCTTAACCGATTTCCCAACGTACCGGCCGACAGCGGTTGCGAGAACAATTGCATGCTGCTCTTCATTTTATATTCAAACGTTAATCTTTATGCTTAATTCTATTTATAGAAGCAACATGTGTCCAGACTTGTGATAATTATCTTACCAAGGGTCCTCCTGAGACAGAGATTAGACTCGTTGGTGGAAGTAGTCATCTTGAAGGCCGCGTTGAAATTAATCACCGTGGGATCTGGGGCACCATTTGTGATGACTTGTGGGATATTAGTGACGCGGATGTTGTTTGCCGTGAACTGTTGCTAGGAAAGGCTCAAGAGGCTGTATCTTTTGGAAGACTGGGTAGAGGACAAGATTCACAGCCGATTTGGCTCTCAAAGGTTTGGTTGATTATTTTTGTTTAATTTGAGTGGCTATATTTTCTTCAGCAGCAAGTAAAGTAGTCAATATTTGTGTACAGTAATTATCTCTGTATTACTTTGACACCTGTTAGTCTCACCAGGTGTAAAGGGAGACAGGGGGTGAAGTGTGGAAATCTATTCCTATCCTCATACCCTGAGAGTATCCTATATTTGATCTCTGAAAGGTACAGTGTAGTGGAAATGAGACACGCTTGGAGCGATGCCAACACCATGGGTGGGGCAATCACTCATGCAGCCATTTTGAAGATGCTGGTGTCCGATGCAAAGGACCTGATACATCCAGAGAATGCGTCAGCTCCTGTGGAGATGGATATTACCGCAAGAAAGGAAAGAAACAGTGTGGTGTATGCTCTACGAGCTGTCTTACCTGTGAAGGCTCATCTACAGTCTGTACCAGTTGTGACGCTTTCCGATTTCGTAAAGGTACAGTTTAGGAGAGGGTGTTAGTGGTGCAATTAATTCGCCTGCTGGTTGATTGAGGACATCAGTGGGCGGCACTTTTCAGGACCCACCGAATGTGACAAGGACACAAGAGAATGAGGCTTTTAGAGAAAGAAAGCTACTTATTCAGGGGAGAAGATAGTAGGATTGGAGGGCGGAATTGATCTTAGTAAATGCTATGGATATATTTTTATTTTGCTTCATTTTTTCTACCTTAAATCTCCCAAACCAAAATTGGGAACAATTATTCTGCAGTAAACGTAAAACTAAAGCTTATAATGAGTGGAGCTGGTACCTATCGATTCCAAATATCTTTCATTTAAACAGGTAAAAGCTGCGTTACATCATGTGGACAGGGTTTCTATGGTGATACCTCTGATCGACAATGCAAACCATGTGATCCAGGATGTCGCACATGCGCAGACGGAACCTCGTCCACCGCTTGTACAACTTGCCCAGATGATCGATACTTAAAAGGAGACGAGTGTGTCGTGAGCTGCGCACCTTCGCTTGTCGGTCAAAGACGACGCATGCGCCTAGCAGGGAAAAATTCCACCGAGCTGGAAGGTCGTTTGGAAATTTTTGTAAACGGCGCCTGGAGCACGGTTTGTGACAAGACCTTTAATTTTCCTGAGGCAAGTGTCGTATGTCGGCAGCTTAGGCTTGGATCCGCCGTAAAAGCTGTCAAGAAGACTGTGTACGGACTTGGAAGCGGTCCAATATGGTCCAGAGACGTAAAATGCACTGGAAGAGAACTAAGTCTGTTCGAGTGCAAAACTACGCCTCGCGCACGTTCGGGTTGTTACCATAGCAGCGACGTAGGAGTTGTTTGTTCTGGACCAGTGCGTGGCGAGCCACCGATTAACCAGTGCTTGAAGCGATGCAACCCTGGCTGGTACAAGAATGACTTTGATGTCTGTAGTTTGTGCGCATCACAGTGTGCTGAATGTTCAGGCAATAGCTTCCGCTGTACTAAATGTAAGGAACCTAAATTCTTAAAAGACAATACGTGCGTTGATAAATGCAACGATGGAGAATATGGACACATTCCTTCGCGAGAATGCCGAAAGTGTAACAGAGAAAAATGTGTGACGTGCGCAGATGGAAACGATGAAAATGACTGTAAGTCATGTACATCTCCAAAAGCGCTGAAGAATGGCACCTGTGCGGAGAGTTGTGGGCCTGACATGTATCATAAGAGTGGAGTCTGTGTCAGTAAATGTGGTGATTTATTTTATGAGTTTGCTGGAAATTATTCTTGTCTCCTCTGTCCACCTGAATGTTTGCAATGCGTATTCAACAGTGTGAAGGGTCTACCTCATTGTACAATATGTGCTCCACCTCTTGTGTTCGACAACAACGTTTGTCATATCAACTGTTCTGGCTCAAAGGTAGCCGTACCAATCAGAGCTTTGAATGATTCATATCCGAATTCAGCGCTGATTCGACTGAGTAACGGTTCCGACTATCTTGAGGGTGTGCTGGAGATATTTCACGATGGAGTTTGGGGAACCGTGTGTGATGATGGATGGGACGCGAAAGAGACCTCAGTAGTATGTAGAGAGCTTGGCCTCGGCAAGGCTGACACAACGGCATCCCTTGGCCACATCCTAAAA